ATGGCCGTTCTAATGCCGTGTGACTTTTGCGTTTTCACACATCGAATCTGATCTAAATTAAGCCATTAAACACTAGCATCACACATTAACACATACCAACCAACCAAACGAGGCAACAATAGTCCAGTAACTCTGTTTTTGTAGTATCTGCTGGCTTTGATGTGGATACAATGGCTTGACAATTCTCCAATCGTAAAACAGTCAAATATTTTAAAAAGTGCACAAAAACTACTTTTAGGTGACTAAAATGCTTCGTGCTCCTGATCTAGAGCACAGCAGCACGTGGCTTTAGCTTCTGTGCTGGTACCCTTTGTTGCTTTGGGGCATCTTAACCACCATGTATTGTTTTTTGTTGTTTTGTTTTTTGTGTTTTATACAAACCCACTTCAAACAAATGAACTATCCCCAACCTAAGCGAAAACAGCTTATCCCTTAAAAGAGTTATTTTAAAACACCAGAATAAATTACATAGAGTGGTTTTACTAAGTTTTCTAAAATTATCTTTGAGACACTGATTGCTTTTTTAAACGTCTTATGTCACACGTGGATTTGGTAGAAAATAAAGGAGCTATAAACTGTTCATCGCTTCTCAGAGGTAAAAGTGATCTCAGGAGCAGATTTATGTTTTCTTTGCTGTTTCTTCCTTATTTTATTTAAACTTGCCCAGCAGTTCTTGACCTCCAACCAGCAGAGTATAATTCCACCTAAGAGTGCTCAACCTCTGATCTGCCTATTAATGAATGCTTTCTGGAGATGCTTCTAACTGTCAAACTAATACCTCAGGAAACAAAAAACCTGACAGAAAAGTGTGTTTATCCAGTGTTCTGTTAAAAAAAAAAACATTACTCTTGATCTGAAGTATTTTTGCATAAATAATCTTATGATAATGATCACAGCATATGCACTGTAGGTCCTAACTCTAAACGCACTAATTGATCTGAAAGAAACTTAGTCCAGTACCCAAGTTAATCAACATCTATAACGCTTATGGAAATTATTTGTATAACACTCAAATCCTTACAAATTATACATGCGTGGTAGCTGATCTCAAAAAGACTGGTCATTATTTGCACATCTATTGTTTTTGTAAATATTTTGCTGAACAATTGTTTTAGTGCAGGGACACTTTGACGTAGCTGGTTCATCAAACAGTGATGTTTGATGGTGGTGATGTAACTGATTACTTTCCCTTATATAATGAATATGTAGCTTGCAAAGAAGAAGAAATATATGTGTTTATTACTCATTTGTTTGCTGTTTATAAACATCTGTTTTTGGCATTACTACATAAATACTACATAAATACTACATAA